ATTGTGTGTACTTCCTTTGTTTTAATTGCATTAATAATATTATATATTCATGATTATTAATCAGTATATCAGTATATAATCGAATTAAATATAATATAATCACTTCGATTCGAATATAGCACTATTACAGGCTACTATATCTTATAAACACTCTTTCCAAATATATTCACATGACACCAACAAATTACAAAACTTTTCAGAGCAAGGTGCTGTCAAATTTTACAAAACAGGAAGTGACGTCGGTTGCTAGGCTACAGCTCATGCATATTCAGTAACACCTGTGCTCATTCGACTAACAATAAAAACTTTTAGCTCAGTTTTGACAAAATCGACCAAAAAGATTTTATTGTTAGTCTAATTAGAACAGGTGTCACTGAATATTTATGATTATGCATGAGCTTGTTACTTAGCAACCACGTCATTTCCGGTTTTATGTTTTTGTTGAGGGCGTCCTCGAAAGAATTGCTAGTTTAATAGATAAAGTAGCACATATTGACGAAACAATTCGTCACTTTTGGTTTAAGCTTATAAGCATATAATAATAAGGATATTTTAGCTCTTGAATTTATTACAGTAAACATGGACATTAAATAATGAGAAGAAATGCACAATTCCATTTATTATATATTTATTTTCAAGCATTGAAATCAAGTTGTGATACTTTTATAATTATATACTGTAGGCCTATATCATGTACATCTATCAAAAATCAATAAATCTGATTTTAATCCTCAAAATTTTATATCTTATCTTACATGTCTACATTCTTTACAACAAACGGGTTACTTTCTCATATTAATAAGATAAACATTAGCAGTCATAATACAATATTAATAAACATAATGCCTACAACAATTATTGCTAACATTATTCTTGAGATTATTGCAGAGGAAAACATTTAAAAAATAAAATTTACACTATATTTCAATTAACTTCATATCCAGAATTTTTGGAAGCTTGATGAGTGACACAATTTTTGGCTATCTATGAATAATTGATAAGTTCTGTTGCCCTTTCACGATTGAGTCCCGACATTCTTTCCTCCTGATAGTTGTCTTCTTTGTCTACATCACTAGAATAGAAAAATATTGAGAAAAGATTAGGAAACAGAAAAAGAATTACAGTATAACGGAGTATCATCAAAACATAATATACAGATAAAAACAGAGAGGCCCACCACTTCAGTCCCACCATGTGTGGGGTTGAGGTAAGAAACTTTTTAATTATGGCACCTCTAGATGGACAGAAATGGCACTCTCAGATATTAAATCTGAATGTAATATTTTTTTAAGATTTAGGATGGGGCAGGCCATATAATCTTCATACAAACATTATTCATGATATAATAATTTTTGATTGATTGGTTGATTTATTAAATTTATTCGATGCTCAACATGCATAAGCAAGATAAAAAATGGATTGAGATCAAGAAAAGTAAAAATTACCGTCATGAGCATCAGGAACGCCCATTAGGCCAGAGTCCAGCCCATTTCGAATGAAGTCCAATTTAAATATACAATGTCTGTCTTAAGCTGAAAGATAAACAATTTAATTCCATAACTGAATAATTATATTAAGCAAGTTACAAACTTACAATTAAATATATGAATGACAAAATTGTTTTCCTGTAAATTAACAGACAGTTAAATTATACCAGTGCTATATTCTTATATATACATAGACTCTTATATTGGCTGGTAGTGTAGATTTAAGGATTTTGTAGTAAAATGTTCGTAAAATCAGGAAAAATGAGAAAAATGTAGATAGGGGGTCCAACAATTCTGATCGGGGTCTAAAACAAGAGGATGCCTAAAGCCTTGTTCAGGGTCCCGGAATAAAATCCCTGGGGTGAGGTTCATGGGGAGAAATCTAACGGTACAGGATCGCCCATGTGATTTTTTACCACAATTGGATTGGCTTTCAAAATATATTTGTTTGGATCGGCAAATTAATGTCGTAGAGTCGGACGATATGGGAGTTGATGTTAGTTTATAATGGTAACTCGGACTACATGAGCAAGGCTAAAAATAGTGTTTAGTTTACAGCAACATGTCCTACTGGGGCCCAGACGGGGATTTAGTTAAGATGTCCCTAAAGCAAATATCTTAAGCTGATTTATCAAACCATCTTAGCAAAATCTTAGCTTAAAAATTGTCTTAGATGGCGCACGCGTACAGTCGACTTTTTAATTTTAAGCATGAGCTAAGCAATATTGATAAATTTGACTTGAGCAAAAAATGGACTTAAGACAATCTTAAGACAATTTTAAGCCGATTTCTAGTTTGATAAATCTAGCCCCAGCCTACAAACTTATGCGGAGTATATAAGGACATGCTGAGGTTATATAATTTATTCCCTTTGGAGGTCAGAAGAAATGTTAGCCGTGTTGTACTTTTTGCTAAATATTTCCCCTCTAATTGCCCTACAAGTGTGGCTTATTCTTTTTTAAAAAATCCCATAGATCCCTCTAATAAAATACTGTTATGACTACATTATTTTCGAAAATCGGTTTTCATTAAGGCAGCTAAATTGTAGAAATCTCTTCCTCCTAGCGCCATTTTCTGTTTTCTGCTGCCTTATCTTTTATTTAAAACCGGGAGCCCTTTTGCTAACATTGTTTTCAAATTCAGGCTTTTTTGTATTGTTTTACTTTCATGAATTACATTTTATCATATGATCAGTGTACCACCTTTGGTGTTGGGTCTTGTCCATGTTTTGCTCTAGGCACTCTCCAAGTAATTTCATCCATTGCATGTTATTCATCTATATGTTGGACTGGTAATACATAAATAAATAAACAAACAAACAAACAAACAGACAGACAGAAAAACGAACGAACGAATGAACAGACGAACGAATGAACAAACGAATGAACGAACGAACAAACAAGCAAACAAGAAAACAAATAAATATCCTCGCACACATGGCCACATAGAGAGAGTGAGAGACGCTCAGCCATGTGCGACTTATGTCTGGTTTTTAAAATGTATCTGTATTTCAAATGTATTGTCAATGTAAATGTAATTTCACATTTCGACTTTCTTTTGGAGGGGCGCCATGAGCGTTTCCTCTTAAGCGGATACAGGCACTTTATTAATTTTCATTATTAGTATTATCATTCTTATTCTTATTAATAATAATAATAATTGTGTTTATTATTATTATTATTATTATTATTATTATTATTATTATTATTATTATTATTATTATTATTATTATTATTATTATTATTATTATTATGCCTATTATTGTTATTATTAGGCTTATTATTATTATTATTATTATAATTATTATAATTAGGCCTATTATTATTATTATTATTATTATTATTATTATTATTATTATTACAGTCCTATATAAAATGCTCAACTGCTCTGTATATTCGAAAAGGGGAAGTGTGCAACCGCCTAAATTATTCAAAAAATTATTCGAAAATGCAGAATATTTATTCATATTTAAGTCGTTTCCGGCCTTCTAGGGCATGGACCGTTGAGGTAACATAATCATAAGTCCATATGTGAAAGTCCCCCTTGGATCCCCTCTATTTCGAATTTCTGGATCCGTCACTACAGTAGTAGCTTTATTTGATATCGACATCATGAAAATACACATCTATGAAGATATCAATATCAATATTGGCAAAGACGGTGTCATTTGGGCCTACCCAAGCACTTCGCTGTCCTTTAAAAATAAAATAGGCCTATTTTGTCGGGCTTTAACAAATTTCGATTATTCAAGATTAAAAGCTGTGTACCAGATAATTATAGGCTGTTGGTAATATATTGTCAATGAAAAAAACAGATACGAATCTACAATGTAAACAATGAACGGAAGTTAACAAGTCCAAGCTGTAATTACTGTAAAAACGGGTGTTTTTTGTTTTTTTTTTTGGCTGAGGCTATCAGCACTGCCGCAGTGCGAAAAGAAGCTGCTGTTTTCTATCGGCACTGCCGCAGTGCCAAAAAGCTGCTGTTTTCTATCGGCACTGCCGCAGTGCCAAAAAGCTGCTGTTTTCTATCGGCACTGCCACAATGCGAAAAAAGCTGCTATTTTCTTTCGGCATTATTGCCGCAGTGCGAAAAAAGCTCCGATTTTTTATCGGCACTGCCGCAGTGCTAAAACACTGCAGTTTTCTATCAGCCACTCGAAAATCTGCTGTTTAATTAATCAAATGGATGTTTTTATCGATAAATTATGGTATCAATAATTGGTTAGATGTAGCCTAGCCTATATTATTGTTAACTTTATATTATATATGTTTTACAGTTAATTATAATTATTTCTAATTATTAAATATATACATATATTTAGGCCCCTACATAAAAAAAATAAAAAAAATTAAAAATAAAATAGTAGTAATAATGATAATAATAATAATAATAATAATAATAATAATAATATAATAATAATAATAATAATAATAATAATAATAATAATAATAACAGTGCTCGAATAATACTATAATAATGAATAATAATTATTTAATTAATGAGATGAATCAGCATATTAAATCAACTTGTGTCTATGCAAAACCTGTTTTATAAATAAAGACGTTATTTATTTTATTCTGTTTTTAAAAATAATCTTTTAAATTATAAGTTTATTTTCTATGATAATTTTATCCACATAATTCAAGTTTTCAATGTTGGTATGGTTAATAAATAATATATGAAATAATAATAATAATAATAATAATGAAGGTGCTCGAATAATGCTTTAATAAAGAACTAATAATACTTCAATAGGCCTATTTGCGATAGTGTGATTAATGAGATATTTGAATTATAATGATGATAATAATAATAATAATAATAATAATAATAATAATAATAATAATAACAGTACTCGAATAATATTATAATAATGAATAATAATTGTTTGATTAATGAGATGAATCAGCATATTAAATCAACTTGCGTCTATGCAAAACCTGTTTTATAAATAAAGATTTTATTTATTTTATTCTGTTTTAAAAAATAATCTTTTAAATTATAAGTTCATTTTCTATGATATGATAATTTTATCCACATAATTCAAGTTCTCAATGTTAGTATGGTTGATAAATAATATATGAAATAATAATAATAATAATAATAATAATAATAATAAATGTGCTCGAATAATGCTTTAATAAAGAACTAATAATACTTCAATAATACTTCAATAGGCCTATTTGCGATAGTGTGATTAATGAGATATTTGTTGATTAATTTATAGAAATATATAATAGGTATATACCATTAATAATGATTCAGCATATTAAATCAACTTACGTCTATAGATGTAAAATCTGGGGTTTTTTTTGTAATTATGTAAATAACTTTCACAAGAACTTTAAAATATCTTAATTAGTATAATCTTGATTAATATCTTAAATTAGTTAATTAATAAATTAATTAATAGATTGATATAAACATAAACTAAACTAAACTAAAATTTATGAATATATTTTAATTAATAAATAAAAGAATCCTGCAACGATTTTTTCAGGTCAGAAATGGGCATCAAAAAGTAGTATTTGTAATAATAAAGCATCTGCTTTTGTTTTGTTTTACATTTACATCCAGCGTTAGGCCAACTTACATAGAATTTACAATGAAACTCATCATATATAAGATTATTTTTTTTTAAACAGAAAATAGGCCTATGCATTACAATGCAGTAGCATAGTACTTTCGTGTTGTTACTGTTAATAACAATAATATAATAATATACAGATTTCTCTTATTAAAAAGTACAATTTATGTTTTATAAAGAAGTATAGTATAGTAAATCATGTTTTTAACACAGGAAACTCTCATATGGTAAATAAACAATGCTAGTCCGGTGTATTACTAGTTCTATTGCACTGTAATGCATAGACCTATGTTAATACACTACTTAGATAGGCTTTCCTTTTTCCATTGATATTCTTTACTTCCAACTTCCTTATTCCTAATTAGTATGCCAGTTACGGTATGCATATAAACTCCTGATATTTCCTGGTTTAGAACAATACGTTTATTATAGGCTTATTACGGAACAGAAGATATCTTAACAGTCTTTGGTGTAAAAGTCTGTTTAGCATTCTAGAAAAGGGGTATGTATTAAGTATTTTAATTAAACTTTTAATATTTTATAATCGTTTATCATTATTATTATCATTTATTAAAGTCGTTCATGTATATAATTTAATAAATGATATACATGAACAACTTTAATAAATGATAATAATAATCATTTATTAATTCGTTCATGTATACAATTTAATAAACGATGCATTGGTGTAACACATTAAAATGCAAAAATCGTACATTATAAAGAAATACAGTAAATGCTCTCAACAATGCGTTTATTTTATTGCTTTTTCATTTAAGTACCGGTACACAGTATGTATAAGATGTGTATAAGAGACAGGCTCTGTATATTCGAAAAGGGGAAGTGTGCAACCGCCTAAATTA